AGCACCGGTCCCAACACTGACCCTTTTGCACCATTTAAGTTTCGTTGCTGCTGTCAGCTCCTTCAGAAAACTTTCAGCCTTAAAGATTTTCTGCTGTGTGTATTCCCACTGGGGCCTTCAGATTTCTGCTTGGGAGAGCTTTTTGTTTGCCAACATGGTTTTGTGCTGAAATGATCTGTTGTCCAACTTTCCCCTGTCAAAACAGTTTGTATTTAGTATGTTCTGCTTATCCCATGTACAGGAAATACAGCAGAGCTTTTCATTCACAGAGTTGGATATTGAAGGTTTATTTACACTTTGAAGTTCCCATTCTGAGGCGTTGTCACTAAGTATTCTTAAATAATCTGCTAAACTTGAAGCTTTTCTGGTGTCGCCTGCCTGTATGTGGCACTACCAAAATGTAGCTCTTGATTCTCCTGACTGCTCTTCCTGTGAGCACTGCTCGGAGTGCTCTACCTCCTCTGCTCGTGAGGAGGGGGTGTGTTCTGCTCTGACAGTACTTGGGGCTGAAGGGGCATGTCAGTGTGACAGATTCGTACTCCTCACAGCAGGTGTGCTATCAGAGGAGGAAAGTTTTCCCTGAATCACTTATGGACTGAAGATGTGTCTGGTGGAAACCTAAAATTCGTTTATTCTGACAAATTGCAGTTCTTGGCAAGAGCAAAACTATGAAAGATTTTTTTAATGATTAGCAAATAATGAGGAGAATTTTGTTAAATGCAAACTGTCTGCAGCAGCCTTTGAAAAGCGCTTTTTCTTCTTCCACAATATACTTGCTGCTGTTACTTTTTGGTGGTGTTTATTTTTATCTTGGTGTCTCTGACTACAGGAGTATGTTGTGCTTTGCAGCATCCTGCCAGCTTTTAACGAGAGACTGTGATTTTCTTAGTGGCAGGACTGAGGTCAAGTAATTTTAAATATCATATGTGGATAATTTTCAATCACATCCATAATCGCGTCAGAGTGAGTCCTTGGAAGTGAAATCCAAGGTAGTAGTCTGCTTTTCTTTGTCAGTGCCGCCTGGTTAAGACCCGGCTGAAGGTTCATGTTTTGCTTTATTTGCACTATCTTTACCCAGCTGGGAGGATGCAAAGCTTCCTGTTCCGCGACAGCATAAATGATTTGGCAAAGGGCATGTCGTTAGGCACTTAAAATAATTGGCAGTGTTTAACTGCATTTACACTGAGCTGCGCCTTCGGTAGGGGAGTGCTTTAGCATAAAGACGTGTTCTTCAGACTGCAGTTCCAGTTTCTCAGAGGGGGGTGGATAATTTGAACATGCTCTGTTGTGTGTTGTCTTTCCCGAGTTCTTAAATTAATTCTGTGTATTTTCATTTGTATTAAATCCGTAGGGATGCTTCATTTGGGAACTGCACATACAACCTCACCATCTTGGACTGCTTACAGGGAATAAATAAGGTAACACCAGCTTTCCTTAGCACAACAGACTGAAACCGATTTTAAAACAGGAAGGAGAGTGCTGTTAAACACACTGCACACTCTGGTTTTGAGGCCAGATGTGTGACCAAGCAGTGTGCTGTCATGAAGCCTGAGGTACCGGGGGCTGCGTTTGCAGGGACGGGGGAAGGCCCCACTCTCACCTGGCTGGCCTGGCATGGGACAGCTTCTGGAGCATCACCTTTGGACTCAGAGCGTGCCAACATGCCGGGGTGGTGGGACAGTGCTCAGCATTGCACAGCTGCGCACCGGGGATGCTGGTAGATGGCTTATAGCTGCCAATGAAAAGGGACCGTGCAGCCTGACCAAGCCCAGTGAGACGGACACCTCTGATTTAATCGGAGCCGTGTGTGTGTGGACTTGGGCCCAGTTTCCCCCCAGACATTTGGCTCCGTGTTTATCTTTGCAGAACTGCTCACACAGAGTGAAAACTGATGTATCTTCCTGGGGTTTTGATGTTGCTTTCCCCAGGACCACGACAGTTTAATATCAAGCTCCAATACTGTGTTGGTTGGGGTTTTTTTAGTGTCACATCACATCTTAATTGGTAACCTGGTGCTATAATTTGTGCTTCACACCACAACCAAAAATTAAACTTGGTTCACCGCCTCCCAGTGATGTTGAGGAAGGGAACAGGCTCTGTGAACAGTCTGTACAGACACTTTGTGGACTATTTGTAATTCTTAAAAGTATGGCAAAACAAATGTTTCTTAAACTGAAAAAAGAGAGATCAAGCTCAATATTTTTAGCTCTGTGGGGGCGGAAATGGAGCTGTCAGTTAACAGCAAGACTCTAATTTGTGTGGCATTCTACAGCTCTGAGGCTCTGTGAAGCAGTCACTGTAACTTATCTGCAACAAATGTCAAAGGGACTTTGAGAATCAGTTTCTCGTTCTTTGTTCCCTTAAATTTATTACTGACTTTTTGTCCAGGTCACCTACAGAGGTAAAACCGCTTTGAGCAGAAGCCATATGCCTTAATCTAAAGTAACATCTTGGTCTGCCTGGGTAAATGTGTTTGCGTTCACATGTATCCTACTGTGTAATTCAGGGGCCTGCAAATGCTGGAGCACAGCCAGCCACGCTTCAGTGGCATCCAGCTTCAAAATCCCTGTTCAGACAAAGCTCTTGGTACCTCAGGCTTCATGACGGGCCTGCTCACGAGCCGCTCTTCTCTGTAACAAAGTGATTTGGTCTTGCCCTAAGAAGGTGCTCTGTGTACCATATAACGGCTGACTGATCATCATGGTTTAAATCCTAGGGCTGTGGTGTGATTTTTATCACACCTTCATCCCAGAGTGTTGTGTGATATCTGTACTTCTCGGAATGCAGTAGATTGAGTATAATACATCCTGCAGAACTGCCTGCCACCTATTCCGTGCAAGAAATTCAGGCTATGCATTCCGTACGCATAGAATTGTTTTTAATGTGGTATTATACACAAATCTGGTACAGAATTGGCATATTGAACGATAGTGTGTTAGTAAAGTACAGAACTTGACTTCTTTCAATCCTGTCACAGATGCTGTAACATACAGTGAACATTCTGTCAGAGGAATGTGCATTGAAAACAAAGCCTAAGCACAGGTTATGGCAGTACTGCATTCGGAACATGCCATTGTGCCTGGCTGTTACGGTGGTAAAATCAGCGTGTCGTATTCATTACAGAAAATCAACAGACCCGGAATGTTCTATATTTTGTTATGTTGAGCTGCATGGAAATGAACTCTGCATAGAAATCACTGAGTGTGACAAAAAGGGAATTGCTTTTTAATTTGTCACCTGCCTTACAGAAAACCCATACATTTACACCGTGTATGTGGGGTAGGGAGAGTCAGTTCTAAGGGTTAAGTGGTATGCAACAGCCTTGCATCCCATCGTAATGCCTTCGAAGGGGAAGTAATGAGACTGAGAGGCTTTAGCGACACTGTTGGAGTTTTTGTTGTCTGTGTTGTTAATCTGTGCCAAATGTGACGTCGTCTTAGCATTAGAGGCTTCAGTAAGACAAGAGCACGAACATTTAGTGACTTAGTTTTGATTCTCCAGTCAATTTACAATTTCATTCATTGTAAAATGAGATGATATATCATATTTCAGAATAAACTGACACCTTGTTGCCTTTTAGGCCTTGCAGCATGGATTTTTTGACTTTAAGACATTTGATGTGGATGAATATGAACACTATGAGGTTTGTACATTTAATGATGGGTTGAATATGTTTGGCTTATCTTAAAGTTAGCGAGAATATACAGTATGCCACAACTTGGAGCATACCGGACGTGCATTTCAATTCAGGTGGAACCCAGCGTTCATATGTCAGGGATCCAACGAATATCCTTGCACTCTCGACAGACTATGTAAGCCTGCTTGCTGTCTTCTTGTGGCCCCTCTGGGACTTCTTCCATGCATTTCCAACCTTCCCCCAGGATATGATCCAGGGACTCTAAGCTGATGCACAGAATTTGTGTTTTCTTTCAATGCCTGTTGAGCTGCTGCTTGAGATGCAGTTGGTCCCAAATGGACAATAGATTTGTTCCAGCCACACGGGTTTAGCAGATTTTGAACTTGCTTAGTGAGGATGCATTATGTGGGGATCCCAGCAACAAAAGTGCATCCAAAGTATTTCCCTCATGAAGTCTGAAGAAGCTGACAGATGTCCCCCGTTGTTCTGCTAGCCGCCTTACAGCGTCAGAACAGTTGCTCTGCAGGCCCCTAGCTGCTCCTAGGCCTCCTTCTGTAGCAGCCACACCTTCGCCTCCTAGCAGTAGGCAGTTCCCTCAGGCTGTGTTGCTGCAGAGAACCCTCAGAGTATGCCCACATATATATTAAACTCTCTTTAGAGCTGTGGTACTCCAGTGTAGCAGTATTCTTCCCCCAGCCCTTGGTTGCAATTCTTGGAAAACTTGGAAATAATGAGAATAAATTTGCTTAGTCTGAAAATGTCCATTTTAAAATGTATTAGTTTAAGTTGAACATTTGTTCTAAAAACAGATCATGGTTGGGAACTCTTAGGAATCTGGACATACAGTAGTTATTAATCTGCCTGAAAAAAAGCATTCAAATATTGACTAAAGCTATCCCATTATCTTTTTTAACGTGTCACACTGTTAGCTTGTGGAAGGTGTGTGAGTGACGTTTAAGGCCTGCTGCCCACTGTCTGGGCTTAAGAAGAAAGAGCTTAGAATCGTCTTTCACTTTTTGTCCGTTTTTTGGCATGTCTTCTCTTACTTTAGGCATCATGGTCAGCTTTGTGTGTTACATGTGTCCTGTGCTGTAAACAGTCCAGGTTTTTTCTGTGTTAGTTTTGTGGAGAAAAGTTGCCTAAGGCTTAACGGGAGCAGAGGAAAGGAAGTTCTGTTTCGTGTTTGCAGTTCTTTCATCATCTATGTTATCAAGGCAGCAAATTCCCCTTTTGTCGGACTAGATGTGAAACATTTGGGTTACTTTTTTAAATACTGATGGTGTTGCACGTAGCGTTCAGGGTACATACACACAGACGTGCAGTTCAGGCTGGGGAGAATGCACAATAACCCACTAACTGTAACGAGCTACGTACTTCACACACGACACTGTAACACGGGTACAAAACGAACTGCTTGAACAGGACCCCTTCCGGAAAGGGGTGGGAGGTGCTGCGGAGCTGAGATGGCAGCGTGTGACACAAATCGGGGGGCCGGTTCGCTAGTCCTTACGCAACCCTGTTAACGCGGAGGAGTTTGCGCTGCACGGGGACGCTTGGCTGAGCAGAGCCCCGGTGATGGGTTACGGTAACACCCGCTGGCCAGCCTTTCACTCACCAGGGCGCTTGGGTGAGCGCTAAACCCCAACCTCAGCAATGCAGCTGCACCGGCTGCCGCGTCCCAGGGCTGCGAGCAGCGGCGGTGCCGATGAGCAGCGAGCGCTCTGCAATTAAACCACCAAGGAAGCGGTTTTGAACTTCAATGTATTTCCAAAAAACCTCCCAGTTTGGCACCCGCAAAATTTGCAGAGCCTTTTGGAGTTGTCATGGAAAAGAGAGCAAGGAATGCAGAATGTCACCATCTGAAAGTTCTGTGCTTTGCTCCTACGAGTGCTGGCTCATCAGAGCTATGCTACTATCCAAATTCCAGTTTCTACAGGAAAGAATAATTTGCTTCAGGGCTGTTGGTTTTTCATTTGTTTTCTGTGAATTGGGCTTTTTAGCAGGTACCTTACAGGGAAGCACTTTTCCATATCCTTTGATTAAAGCATGGAAGAATGTTGGTGTTTGTCAGCGTTGTTGTACCACCCAGTGCTGAACCCTCTAAGGGGTTATACCTAACCCTCTTAGATCAGGGATCTTCTTGCTTTTGTTGGAAAACTTCAGCAGAATTTTGTTTCCTTTTGTGAAGAGATTTCTAAGCAGCAGGTTATGGCTGGCTTGTCCCTTCTAGGTAAGCTGGCCAGCTACAGCGGAAGTGGTGTGGTTTAATGCAGCAAGAACACAGTAAAAAGTGAAACAAAATCTTGAATAATTTCTTTAACCTTGTAAGGGCCGATATTAAAACGCTTTTCTCTTTGAAATTTTTATAGCGAGTGGAAAACGGTGACTTCAACTGGATCGTTCCAGGGAAATTTTTAGCGTTTAGCGGACCACACCCCAAAAGCAAACTTGAAAATGGTACGGTGTATGTTTTACTGCTGTTCTGTGCTCTTACTTTTTGCAGCATCTTAAACAGTCACAGCAAATGAGCAGATTAGTGTTTATAGATTAAATCTCATTTTTCAGAAATAATCGTACAGTGAACATTTTATATTCATAGGACATAATTCCAAAAGTTTTGGAATTCTATGCTAGAAGAACTCCAGTTCTTGTAACAGTGATTTTCATTCTGTGACAAAATGCCTGAGAAATCCAAGTCCCTTACTTTTCTCCTGGAACCAGACACGGTCAGTGTGCAGAACTGCAGGTGAACTGCGCAGAGCAGACGAGATGCAGTAAGAGTTTTGGAACGGAGGCCAGGAAAGACTGGAAAAAGAAACTTGCCTTTACCACTGAAGACTCGGGATAATGGGAAGAACCTGTGTGATTCCAGCGGAACAAGGAAAAGTAGAGATTTGGTCCAGCTAAAAGGAAAATCAGTCATCTAAAAACTACAGTCAGATTTTTGCTGAATTTCACCTTGTTCTTTGTGCCATATCACTGTTTGTGAGCATGTGTTCTGAATAGCCACCTGTCCTGGTTTAATCCCAGGCAGCAACTCAGCACTGCGCAGCTGCTCACACCTCCCCCCGAGGTCCGAGACACGGAAACTCGTGGGTTGATATAACAATTCAGTAATTGGAAGCAAATGAAATAAAATAATGCTACCAATAATACTAATAATGTGTGATGAAAACAATGGAAGACAAGTGATACGACTGCCAGAGCTGGAGAGAGCAAGTGACTCCCCCCTGGCCAACTCCCCCAACTCATACACTGAGCATGAGTTTTGGTGGCCTGAGCTGTACCTTTGGTCAGTTTGGCTCAGCTGTCCAGGCTGTGTCCCCTCCCAGCTCCTGGCCCAGAAGCAGCCGGGAACACAGGGGCAGGATCAGAAACTCGAAGAGTCCTGAGTTGACATAGATTCCTTTGCAACAGCTAAAACCAAGTGTGGTATTGACATTCTTCTCAGCACAACCAGAACACAGGCTGGCACTACCTACCACGGGGAGAACGAACTGTCCCAGTTAAAACCAGCACACCACCTCGCTCTTTCTTCCACTTCTGCCCACTTGTTTCCTAATGACAGGAATGCTGCTAGTGCAGTGTCCCCCGAGGATTTAAACAAAACCAGGGGAGACTTTTTTTTTTAAATTATAGTGCTCTTCACGAGCGTTTTTTTGTATCGCTGAACATGTTTGTAAATGTTAAAGCATTTCAGTATGAGCGTGTCTATCATTCAGAAATGTTTGGGGGACAGTTTTGATGAGTAGGATTTTGAACTTCAGCTGTGACGTTAAATGATGGTTGCTGGGTTTTTATAGGTTATCCTCTCCATGCACCTGAAGCCTACTTTCCCTATTTCAAGAAACATAACGTCACATCAGTTATAAGACTAAACAAAAAAATTTATGAGGCAAAACGCTTCACGGCTGCTGGGTTTGAGCACTACGACCTCTTCTTCGTGGATGGGAGCACACCAAGCGACAGTATAGTGCAGAGGTTCCTCCACATCTGCGAGAACGCTGATGGTGCCATCGCTGTCCATTGTAAAGGTACGTGCTTGTTTCTCGGACGGAACTTCAAAGTGAGTGTAAATCCACAGAGCTTATTCCAGAAGTAAAGCATGTCAAAGATAGCCCCTTCGGTTGTGGAGGTAATGCTGCTTTAGGATACATGACTAAATATATGACAAATAGTTGTTATTTCCATGTGCGTATGAAGTTCTTTCATCCTACACTACTGCTTCCAGTAACTGGCAGTCTGGTGTTCATTGTGCTGCTGTTTCGTAATACCATTTGGAGGCGTGAGGTTTAGCTGATGGCGATTGCTCTTGCCTTATGCTTTTGCAGCGCTATGATAACTGGCTAGGAAATGCAAAAACCTGAAAGGTTTCCGTGGTGCTTTCGGACTGTTGTACGTTTTTCTGTGGAGCGTGACTTCCACATTAGGAGCTGATGTGAGTTATTGTGATGCCAGCATTTCAGACCAGCCGCTTCAGCAAATCGGGAAATACACAGAACGTGCTTAGTCAAGAATGATTAACAAAGGCTCTGAAGGGTTCACCTTGATTTATTCTTGGAGTTGTGTAAGGACTCTGTGGAGACCAGTGTCTTGCAGGCCTGAAACAGGAGCAGTGCTATCCATTCAGAATTTTTCCATGAACATCAAACTTGCATTTCACAAATAAGTAAGTTCACTTGCTGACAAGTTGTTACTGTGGCTAGAACCCAGGAAGTCTGGCATTAAGAAGCTGGGCATCTGCTAATCAATGAGCGAGAGTCACTGAAGGCTTCATCTCCAAGAGTCACAGCAAGACGTGGCTCTGGTTAAATGTCAAGAGCTTGTAGCTCTGTGTAGGATTGGCAGCAGGGATGTCTGGCTGCTTTGAGAACTCCCATTCAGACAGTTGTTGGTGCCACCGTGAGACTGCAAATAGCAAATATTGTATCTGGGGGGAAGTGAGGTTTAAATGGGGAGGCATGTTACTAGTAGATAAGACACAGGGCTAGAGAGATCAATGCTACAATCAGCGATTTGTCTGAGAGACAAAAAACTCAGCTTTCACTCCATTCTCCCCTTAAAACCAGGATCAGTTTGTGATTTGGGGGCAGCGGGTACATTACTTTAAGCTGTTGCTATATGGCATTACATGCGGGTCAATGTTCACTGCAGTTGAGGCAGATAGCAGCCAACGTCTTACAGGTTGGTTTCACACCAGGACTGGTTCAGAAAGAAGGCGCCGCTGGCCGAGAAGACACACGCTGCGCTCTGTTGTGTTGTATCTGTGTATGTTTCAACCTCGATTTGTAAAGTATGTGTGTTGGCCGCAAAGGCACTGTGGGTTTGGTTTTTCCGTGTTTCATAAACATGAAGCTTTTGTATCCAGCTTGGTCACAGTTTTTCTTAAAATATCAGCCTTTTTTAAAAACAACAACTTTGAAGTAGAACTGTGCAAGTGCCAAGAGTGACAACTGTCACACGTGTTCTTAAATGCTGGGGACCTTATTTATTCGTTCTTCTATCTTCAGCGTTGAAATCCAGCTGTCTGATAAACAGGGTATGCATGGGGAATTCTGCAGATGGCAAGGTGGTGGGTAACACTGCAGTGTCTCCTCACGTCCTCTCCTTCGGTTGGGTGATTACGAAACGCTGGTGACTCTGCGTGTTGGCTGATGTTTGTGTTTCCGTAGCTGGCCTGGGGAGGACAGGAACACTGATTGCCTGTTACATCATGAAGCACTACAAGTTCACACACGCTGAAGCTATCGCGTGGGTACGAGTATGTCGGCCAGGCTCTATTATAGGACCTCAGCAACACTTCCTGGAAGAGTATGTATTCCTCTTTGATCTAAGAACCAACTGTTTCTCTACATCCCTATCTGTCTTGCACTGTTTATAGGATCTGCTTTCTGTCTGCTGACACGGTGTATTACCGCCTGTTGCAATATATTTCAGGTTAGTTAATTTGGGATTGCAATCAAACTTCCTCCATAGCAATTGCTTTCCCTGGAGTGCTGTGCGTTTTGTCACCTCAAGGGGCAGAGGGTCTCAAGGCTGCATGTATTTGTTCTGGGGGATTCAGGAGTTACGTGTGTTGGAAGCGTAAGGTCCAGTCACAGAATCATGGAATGGTTTGGATTGGAAGGGACCTTAAAGACCATCTAGTTCCACCCCCCCTGCCATGGGCAGGGACACCTTCCACTAGACCAGGTTGCTCCAAGCCTCATCCAGCCTGGCCTTGGACACTTCCAGGGATGGGACATCCACAGCTTCTCTGGGCAACCTGTCCCAGTGCCTCCCCACACTCTCTGTAAAAAATCTCTTTCTTACATCTAGTCTAAATCTCCCTCTTTCCATTTAAACCTGTTACCCTTTGTCCTGTTACTACAGGCCCTGCTAAAAAGTCCCCCCCCAGCTCTCTTACAGTCCTGCCTCAGGCACTGGAAGGGGCTCCAA